TTTTGTTTACCTGTTAGATGGGTAGACTAGGTGGTAATTTTTCATTTATTTTACAAGGTGCCCCATACCATTTAAAAACCAAAGGTTTTATGATAATTTAAATTGTTTCTTTAAAGATATTATTTTTTAATCTTGAAATAAAAAGATCTTCCTGGATAAAATAAAATACGATTATTTTAAATATAGCTATTAAAAAATACATAGTTGGTTTATTATTTGTAATTATTTGGTTTTTACGATCTGAAATTGAGTACGTATGAATCTACAAATATTCCATGTCAACTTATAACAAATCAAACTCGATTTGCATATTTCGTTTCGAATATAATTGCATGTATTTGTGTAACAGTAATGAATAAAAAATCATATGATTAAATTTTTAGATGTGTGACTGTCAAAAATGCATAAATCGGCTTATCATTATCAAGCGCATAGAAATTGAGTTCTCCACTTTTGCTTTGAATTATAAAATTCAAAATCGTTTGTTAACCAACAATGTCATGGAGAAATCAATTATCCAAGAGTCTTAAGGAACTTCGCGTACATTTTTGCCAAACTTCTCCCGAAAGTAAGGGTGTTAGGTCTGTAATTAATTTTTGTTTTTTATCGAATGTAAATTTAAATTTAGATTGTTGGCTTATCAATTGTATCAATTCTTGCATACATAGAGAATTTATTGCTCAAAATTATAAATCGTTAAAAGCAGCCAACCCACATTTTCCAATCTTGGTCCGTGAAGCAAGCGGCGTTGAAGCAAGATTTTTCGCTAGATACGGTAAAATTAATTATACAATAAAAACCACTTTAATTATTAGTACTAAGTATATCTTTCCAATGTACATTTATGTTTTGCATTAGATTTTGGTAAAGAAACAAAAGTAGTGCTAGATAATCTTTCTGCAGAAGCCATAGAATCCAAATTAAAAGATCTAGTCACTAAGAGCCCTGATTAATATATATATAATAACTGGAAATAGACCATAAAAATCTTGTACGATAAATTTTTAATAAATGCAGAGATAAAGTATCCTCCTTAAAAATATACATTGAACATTATAAATGTCAATTTTTGTATCATCTAATTTCAAATGAAGGAATTTACGTCATCGAAAGTCAACCTTGACAACCAAAATGATTATAACACCCTGTTCGCCTAAACTCTT